AACAGTCAGAGTCACACTGTTTACAGTGAATGTTCAGGGAGCATTAACACAGAACTTATCTCCAACGATAACTTTTTTTATTTCACTATGTTTTTCAATCTCCATTTTGTAACAGCCTTATCCTTAGACTCCTTAGAGGGATAAGCAAATTCCTAATTGTGAGCTCTCATGAAACCCATTTGATAAATAAACTCATCTTTTATTTTCAGAAGGAGTTAATCTAGAATCCTGCTTTCAATAGTTACAGTCTTCCTAAACAGAATCACTCACCACTAAATTGATCCCTTTTTTCATATACTGGCTAATTTGAAGCAGATGGATTTTTTCAGCTGGGATGCATATCACTATTTCAGAGTTACATATTTTCAGCAGAGGGCAGAGCAGCAAGTGATCCAAATTCATGTTTCTTGGTAGAGAACTGTTGGAACCTTAATTCTCCTCCATTCCTGTGGCAGGCACAGGAGAAAGAATTTATACAAGGCTTTTGTGGAAGTAGTTGCTTGTAGTAGGCTGGGCTCCGTGATGCAGGAAGATTTGAAAAGATCTATGTTCCAGTGTTTATAGAGACTGTGCTATCACCAGGGTGCAGGCTCTTCACATCAATAACCCAGCCTTTCTAAGCCAATGAAGACAAGAACATGGGCTTTGTCCTGCTGCCACCAAGGAGTGGGTAGCTTTTCACTAATGAACTCATGGGCTGCCTCTGCCAGTGAGATAATTCTTGGCTCCTGTCCCAGGACTGAACTCTTCAGCCACCAGATCTTCATCCCTTTTCTTCAGCATCTCTCTTCTGATTCTTAAGATTTCCTAGCACAGATTTCATGAGTAACCATGCCTTTCCACATCCCCCAGCACTGCAGAAATGTTGTCTGGGAGGTGACATAGTCCAGCCTCTCACTCCAAGCATGGTGGCTGCTGGCAGCAGATGAGATCACACCTGGTCAAGCCCTGAAAACCTCCAAGGACACAGATTCCCCAACCTGTTCCAGTGCTGTACCATTCTCCTGTTCCTTATATCTAACCTGGCTCTCTGAAATTACTGCTTGTGGCTCTCACTCCTTTTCGTGTCGTCTGGAATTGCCAAGAACAGTGAAGCTATCTTACCTTTGTAACTACCCTTCAAGTAATTGTACTTCTTTCATTCAGCAGATACTGACTGCCAACCTAGAGAGAAGCGCATTCCCTAGTTACAGGCAGGGCAACCCTGCAGAGGTCCTGCTGCTGTCCCATGCCTCTCTCTTCCTCCGGAGCTGCTTGCTGGCTGGTGTTGGTGGCCTTCTGATCTCCATCTCTTTCCAGCCAACCCACCTGTTAGGGACTCATCCTAAACTTCCCGAAAGACTGCTTGGTTATGTTTTCTGGGATGTGCAAGCAAGGAAGCTTGCTCATGCAAGGGATAGACCTAGCCTCCTCCTTACCAAAATCTTGATGTTACATTTTCCAATACCATCCTTTCATTTTATCTCTTTGTTATAAGACCAGAAAGTACCCAAGGAAAAAAAAAATCCTCATCTATCTGAATAATAGTAATTTCTGCTGGCAAAGTTTTCTTAAGCTATCTGTTCCATCTCTAACAGCATAGGATTTGTTGTATTCTACAGCACAACTCAGATTTATTGATTTGAATATTATCATTTTCACACAAATTTATCTCTGGTTTTAACTCTGTAGATTTCAATGAAGTTATATAATGGATCTTTTTGTCCCAGTGCTTCATTTCAGTGTTAAGGAATAAAGTTTCTTGGACTCTGATTGCATTACATCAGCTTTCTCACACTAAGAATTTTTTTATAGCATTCTAGACCAATCTAAAGTCTGGGACAAAATAGGATTCATTAAATGCCATTTTTCTGAGAAACAGAATAGTAAGATTGCACTGTGAAGATATGTGTATGAATATGCATCTTTTTAACAACTAGGACAGGGGACTAGAATTCAGGAAGCCATATGACAAACAAACATTCCCACCTGTGGAAAGAGGGACAGGCAACTCAGAATGAATACAAGGATGTCGTTAGGATGTGTAGAGGAGAAATCAGAAAGGCAAAAGCCCAGCTTGAACGTAACCTGGCCACTGTGGTGAAAAGGAATAAGAAACGCTTTTATAAATACATTAACAGTAAGAGGAGGACAAAGGAGAATGTCCACTCTTTGCTGGATGAGGCTGGGAATGTGACCACTGAGGATAAGGAAAAGGCAGAGGTTCTGAGTGCCTTCTTTACAACTGTCTTTAAAAGTCAGACCAGTTATCCTCAGGATACTCCTCTCTCTGACCTGGTAATCTCGGCTGGGGACCACACTAACCCCCCTGTGATTCTGGAGGAAACAGTCAGAGACCTACTACTCCAACTGGACTGCCTCAAGTCGATGGGGCCAGATGAGATCCACCCGAGAGTGCTGAGGGAACTGGCGGAGGTGAGAGCCGAGCCGCTTTCCATCATCTGTCAGCGCTCCTTGCTTACTGGTGAGGTCCCAGAAGACTGGAGGCTTGCCAACGTGACTCCCATTTACAAGAAGGGTCGTAAGGAGGATCCGGGGAACTACAGGCCTGATAGCCTGACCTCGGTGCCAGGGAAGGTTATGGAGCAGATTGTCTTGAGGGAGATCATGCGGCATGTGCAGGGTGACCGGGGGATCAGGCCTAGCCAGCATGGGTTCACTAAGGACAGGTCCTGTTTGACCAACCTGATCTCCTTCTATGATCTAGTGACCTGTCTGGTACACAAGGGAAAGGCTGTTGATGTGGTCTACCTAGACTTCAGCAAAGCCTTTGACACTGTCTCCCACAGCATTCTCCTGCAGAAGCTGGCAGCCAGAGGCTTGGATGGATACACTCTTGGCTGGGTAAGGAGCTGGCTGGAGGGCCGGGCACAGAGAGTGGTGGTGAATGGAGTCAAATCCAGCTGGCGACCGGTCGTGAGTGGTGTTCCCCAGGGGTCGGTGCTGGGGCCTGTCCTCTTCAATATCTTTATTGATGACCTCGATGAGGGCATCGAGTGCACCCTCAGTAAATTCGCAGATTACACCACATTGGCTGGAAGTGTGGATCTGCCTGGGGGTAGCAAGGCCGTACAGAGGGATCTGGACAGGCTGGAGAGCTGGGCTGAAGCCAATGGAATGAGTTTCAACAAGGCCAAATGCCGGGTCCTGCACTTCTGCCACAACAACCCCAGGCGACGCTACAGGCTTGGGGCGGTGTGGCTGGAGGACTGCGTAGAGGAAATGGACCTGGGGGTGTTGGTTGATGCTCGACTGAATATGAGCCAGCAGTGTGCGCGGGTGGCCAAGAAGGACAATGGCATCCTGGATTGCACCAGGAACTGTGTTGCAAGCAGGAGCAGAGAGGTGATTGTTCCCCTGTATTCAGCACTGGTGAGGCCGCACCTTGAGTGCTGTGTCCAGTTTTGGGCCCCTCACTGCAAGAAAGATATTGAGGCCCTGGAACGTGTTCAAAGGAGGGCAACAAAGCTGGTGAGGGGTCTGGAGCACAGGCCATATGAGGAGAGGCTGAAGGAGCTGGGAATGTTCAGCCTGGAGAAGAGGAGGCTCAGGGGAGACCTCATTGCTCTCTATAACTTCCTGAAGGGAGGTTGTAGTGAGCTGGGGGTCGGCCTCTTCTCTCGTGTCATTAGTGATAGGACCAGGGGGAATGGCTTCAAGCTACGGCAGGGGAGATTCAGGCTGGACATGAGGAAGTATTACTTTTCAGAAAGGGTGGTCAGGCACTGGAACGGACTGCCCAGGGAGGTGGTGGAGTCACCGAGCCTGGGGGTGTTCAAGGAAAGACTGGATGTTGTGTTGAGGGACATGGTTTAGTGGGAGCTATTGGGAATAGGTGAACGGTTGGACTGGGTGATCTTTTAGGTCTTTTCCAACCTTGGTGATTCTATGATTCTATGATTCTATGACATTAAACACTTAACTATTCTGTGCCTCATATTTTCCATCTGTAAAATGGGAACAGTGATATTTCCTACTTTGAGTAGCACTTTCTGATTTAATGATCTATGATTATCATTATTTCTGTTGACAGTGGCATCAGCTCTGTTCCAAATTGGTTATAATTGGAATGTTTAGATGAATGAAAGCAATTACAGAGCCCTTATGCTGCAAACGTTTAAGCTTATGATTAATTTTATGCACATAAGTAATAGCATTTACTTCAGTGAAGCTTCTCACGTGAATAAAGCTAAGCAGGTTTGAAGTATTTGGAGGTTCAGGAGTGGAAGGCTCTAATAAACCGTAGTTCTTATATAGAAATACATAATTGGGGTCTTCTGAGGGAAATTTCCAGAAAATTCGTTTTAACTTTATGCTACATTTAACTACCTGTTGTGGAATAACTGCTAATTTTGTTCACAAAAACTCAGTGTTGCAGCCATCGATGATAAATACTGGCTTTAAATTTTGGCTACAACCCAAAAGCTTATTGTTAAATATGTTTTGTTAGTATGAAACTTGACTCGTGGCAGACTCCTTTGTGAACGACTGATTACTAGGAACATCAAACTGAACTATTCTGTTCCACAGCCAGAACAGTTACCAGTAGAGCTTTTTTTAAAAGGGATTTTTAATTTTTTATATTTTTTTACTCAGAAGAAAGAGTTTATGTTTGTACATTGTATGGGTTAGTTTTCTGCCTGATGATAGCTAGTTATTCAGCTTTACCAGAGAAAGGAAAAAAACATCACGTAAATGTGTTGAAAGGAATTCTTCAGTAGAGAGGAGAAACCACCGAAGCATGCAGAGCAGAGGCGGTGTGAGCAGCTGTTGTGGCTGTAGTGAGGATGCTGAGCAAAGGGAAGTGTGGTGCTAATGAGGGTGAGGACTGGGTTGCTGTGCAGGTTGCTATAAAATGCCACTGCCTTTTGGGCAGACAACAGAAAAATGGGAACTACCACAAAGCCTTTTGCAATCCGGCAGTGGAACAGTTGAGCTTCTAGATACTGTTTTGGTTTCCATCCTTCAGTGACCTTTTCTTTTCTTGTTTATTTGTGCAGTTGATGGCTTGGATAAAGCTTCAATCGCTAACTCAGATGGACCAGCCCCAGGATCCCAAACTCCTCCCTTCAAGAGAAAGGGCAAACTTTCTACCATTGGCAAAATTTTTAAACCTTGGAAATGGAGGAAGAAGAAGACCAGTGACAAATTCAGAGAAACGTCAGCAGGTATGAATGTGGCCCTTTGGTGGCAAATAGCAGGAAACGTTGTAATGGCTTTGCAGGCTAATAGCTGAAGAGGTGTTCAGACATGTCAGGGACAATTTAGGCACAGTATTGGACATACACAAAAATTGACCTTTGACAAGGAAAAACCTTATTCAGATTCTGTCCTGAGCCTGTTACCGAAGAGTGTGGTTTATTAACTTAGTATTCATTACATATTATATTCTTTTGATGTTGGTAACACTCATTTTTTTAACTAAGAAACATGAAGCTGTGTACTTTGTATCATCAGGTATGTTGGGAATGTCTCTGTGTTCTACTAGTAGCCAGTGGTTTGGGATATGAAGCAAACCTTGCCTTCATGGGAACAGAACTTTGGTCTGTTCAGAGAGGAGAAGCAGATGTGATCATGCACAGAAAAAAAGAAAAAAAAGAAAAGAAAAAAATCAGCTTTGCAATCACTGCTCAGCGCCTTCTCTCCGCAACTGGACAGGTTTGAAGAACAAGTGTGAAATAAAAGGCTGTGACTGGGTAATGTTAGTTCTGAACATGAGCACAACTGAAAGCTGGATTTAGTTGCCTAAACACAGGTGCTTGGTGCCACCTGAGATGCTCTGGCCGTCCTGGCTGCTCTCCCAGAAGGTTTTGTGTCGTGTTTGCCATCGCTGTGTGGATGTCTCCAAAACCTTGAAGCATCTCAAGTGGCTGTAGTCATTCATGCTGTTAGGAAACTTAACCCGCTCTGCATCTGTGGCTCTGTGTCACAGCTCCGGCCAAGATTTCTTCAGGAAAATCCCAAACTTCTGTTTTGGGATTCAGACATTCAACGCTGTGCTTTTGTCAACTTCAGCCCAATCAGAGTCCATGGCTTTTCAGATTCATTACCACACTGCAAATTCTCTGTTCACTGTCTTCCATGTCTCTAGGCTATAAAACCAATCTCCCAAAATGTCCCTATTGAGAACATTTGGGAGTACACTGCTTTACATTTTAAGTCCAGGAACCCCTAGAAATTGCGGCAGAGAACTCTTAATAAAGAGCAGTGTCTATCTCAATGATCTTAGAGCTAATTTTCCAGTGATAGTGATGTCCTCTCGATTATCTCAGCTGTGTATGTTTAGTTCCACTGCCTCCTGGGTACTGGCACCTGTTCTGTCATGAGCTATATCGCAAACCTGATCCAACAGAAAGCTAAATACAGTGAAACATAACAAGAAGTAGCTTTTATTTTTCTTCAAAGGTTACCACTTGTGGTCTAGCCGTGTGATTACTGTCAGTAAAGCACACTGAATCTGAGAGGAAGTACAGAGCCTCTGTTGGAGCTTCTTAACATTTAGAAAAGCTGTTTTTTTTTAATTTCAGCTGTATTTTTGCATCACTGCCTTTCAGGTCTGGATGTTAAAAAATTAATGTTGTTTTCCTTATCTTTTTTTTTTTCTCCAGGGTTAGAGCTTTATTTTATGATAAATCTTTTCTTTAAAACAGAGCACCAAAGTGCAAACAGAAATCCATAAGAGATAGGAGTATTTGCATGTCGAATCAGCAGAATAATAATAGAGTCAGTGGTGACAGATTAATATAGTGCATAGATCATGTAACTGGGATCTCTTTTGGTCAGCTGAATATGTGGCTGTATATAATTTGTATTGAAAACTAGAGGTTAATTATCTGCACAAATGAAGTATTTCTATAGATGTTACAGAGCATGAGAAAAGTTAATGCAGAGGGAGGTAACAATTAAATAATTGAAGTTCCTGCTCTAAGTTCAGTTACAGAACTTTGTATTTAATAGTTCTTATTCCCAAAAAAATAAACTAGCCCAACTGATTAACTAAGTGCCTAATGTATCTTGGGTTGAGTATCATCTTCTACACAGACTTTTAAATTATCCCCCCAAAACCTTTAATTTGTTTTAATAGCATTGTTCCAGGTAACCATGTAATATGTATCCATGTTTTGTACAGTGAAGGCTGCTATTGTATTTAGTAACACGTAGTAATATAAAATTAGTGTTGTAAAACACAGCTAACAAAAAATGAAACCATTCTAATAATCTAAATTGTGTAAACTAGACTACTTCAGTGCCTGTATAGTCTGTGAAACATAGATGTACAAAATTCAATGCATGTCTTGGTGAACAAAACCTAAGCATTTTATGCGACTTTGGAAACTTCTGATATTTTTTCAGTAGATGGTTTTTTATTTTTTTTTCTCCCTAAGGAGTCCATATGTTCTATTTTTCATAAGGCTTTAATCATCCATCCCACTACATTTTAATATTTCATTTATTTGGGTGGGATTGTACAAGTAAAGTGACATGGGGAATTAATTTCAGATTTTGAAAACTTTAGTATCCTTTTGTACATTCAGCACATCAGTTTGCATTCGTAAATTCCAGATTATGTGCATTCTGCCAACCATCACAGTATTCAGTTGTTTTGTTTTGTTGTTTTTTTTCCTTAAAATGAAATGCTGGGACTTACATAATATCTGAAGATCTCATCTTTCATCTAAGAAGTAGCAATAACAGTTGTCTAAGATGGGGAGAAAGTAAATCTTGATTAAATTAGATTGTAAATTTTAGAAGTAAATTAAAGGTTCCCCTGTTATTTTTCTCCCATGTTATACAGGAATTTGTCCTTTGAGACTCTCTAAAGTGTAACCTACAGCTAGATGAAAGTGGCACAACTACAGTTCTCAGAGTTTTTATGCTGAGATAGAAAGAGGTGTCTAAATATTAACTAATATCAACATAGTGAACATTTAGTCATAATTTTGCTTAGGCGTCATTGTCATTCACCCTCCTGTCAACAATCAAAGCTTTTTCTTCCAAGTCTGGCTGTACTGGTCCTATGTTAGCAGCCGGTTTGAGGCTAGATATACCTTTAATCCATGCTGATTGCCAGCTAGTAGTATCAGTAGTGCTAGCAGGAGCACACCAGGATAAGTCACTTGTGCTGACTTTGAGCATCCTCCTGCAGTTCCTCCTCTGTCTTGGCCAGGAACACGGATTACCTCCCCTCATAATTCCATACAGAGAAAAGACACAGATAAATCAATATGTTTTTGCAGCAGTAAGGTATTGTGTCTTCAGGAGTCCTAGAAACGGGGTGGCAGCCCCAGCTACACTGTGAACAAGCTATGTGTATTTGGTGCAAATCAAGTTAGCTTGAAATGGAAGCATATCTTAACGTGACTGTGTTATTTTGCTGCTGGGAAATCCCAGAGCTGTAGGGATGTAGTTTATTGGTTTTTAAGCTCTACGTAACAAAGATACGGAACCACTTACATTTGTGTACGTGCTTCATGTGAGGCTGGAGTCAGAAATGAAAACCAGATTGGACTGCGTTCATCCTGCCTCAGATGGTTGTTTCAGGAAAAAAAAAGTTAAGGGAAAAAAAAGAGTTACCCTTGCACTCCTTGAGGAAACAGACCTGAGGCCAACGGAGATTGAAAAGATGCATTTCCTTGGCAAGTTGCCCCTTGTTGCTTGCTAATTGACACAGCAGAAGAAACTCGCTTATCTGATGTGAGAAAGAGGAAAACATCCGCACAAAATAAATTTCCTGCAGGAAATCCTCTTCCTCAGACAGCTCAGTCAGAGCTGTATTTACATCACAAAACGGGATGTGTGTGTGCATATCTCAGATGTAGGTGGCCGATCTCCTGGTCTGAGACCATGGGAGATGATATGATATGACATAGCATGTATTGGTTATTCTCTTATTCTCTGGCCACAGCTTGGTAAGTATGTGTGCAGCTGAAGAAAGTTCCTTCTGAAACAGAGTATGGGGTATTGGAAAGAACTTCTATTGCTATAACTGGGATTTCAGTCAGCTTTTTGAAGTAGGTTCTTCTTACAGATTTGACAGGGCTGTAATATGCAGTGTGTTGACAAGATCTCATGTGACTGTATTATGCCAGCAACTGGAAGATATTCATAAACAGCAAATACCACAAACAACAAAAAAAAATATGGACAACTAGATGTGGAAGTATTTGGTCTGATCTGGGAATGATGGCTGGAATTTTTCCCCTTAAGCAACACATTTCCCATGCTGTATCTCAGATAATCTGTTCTCTGGGCACTAATTGTATAGTTTCTGCCTAAAGATTTTTTATAAGTAAGTAAACAGAGGATGGCATAATCTTAAGGGCTTCCCCCCCTCCCATCTCAGTGTTTTACTCAGAGGGCAAAGAAGACAGCAGTTAAAGTCTTGGCATGAAGTAGGCGCCACTTCAAAGCTGTGCTGTGAGAGTATGTGCAGGCAGGGAGCGGGAGGCAATTTTAGCTTGTACTGGGTCAGAGAAAAATTAAAATTTGGAATTCTCTTGAGCTTCTTTGGGATAAGCAAAACTAAAAACTGGAGAATATCCAGAATCTCACATTACTCTTTAAATAAAATAATGTGTTCTTAAGACTACTTGAGGTTTGTAGCTGCTGAATGTCGGTAAGTCTTCTCTTTTTGAGGGGGCAGGTAAGGAGTGATCTGAACTGCTTTTTGAGGTAAACTGTTATTTTGATTGGTTTGCTATTATTTATGTTGGGCTAAAAATACACGTTTGTGGGATCCCTTGGGTAAATAAGATTTACCCAAGTAAATGAGGTTTGCAATTCAAGGCTACATACAGTCTGATAAATTGACATACTGTTAGTTACAACTGAAGTTAATGGAAGCACCAGTGCAGTTTGTATGCTATGTGAGCCAGGGGTTGTGAAGGTAAAACACATAACAAGCAAATAAAAGCTGTACCATCTGCACACCTGTCAACCCACATTCAGACATTTTTTACCTTCCCAATGCTTGACTTTGTAAAAAAAGCATTATATTAAGAGAGTTTACCTAAACCTAATGGTAGTCTAATGTGATTTGCTCAACTAAAGGTATGAGATCCTTATGGTCAGTGCAATTGTTGTGATCAAGATAGTTGGCTGTGTAAATGTGAAATGTATTACATAATGAAAAGTCTTTAATAAGCAATAAATTAAACTTATGAATCCACTCTGGCTAAATAGTGCCCAGTGCAGGCTCATGAGTAGACAGTAACCTCATTCCTCTTATACAAGAGTACATATTTTTGATTACTCTTATTTAAATTAAAGTTCTGCTTTTTTTGTAAGAATTAAAGTTGAGATACTTACAGTGAACGCCAGCATACTTTCTAATGTTTTTTCTGTGAGTCAAATAATGTTTTAAATAAATTATCATTTCAAGCTGAATTAACTGAGTTTAATCAGTTTAAATCAAAACAACACTTATAGCTAGAGTTTCAGATGATTAAGGATTTGGGCTTAAGCTTCTTATCTGTTCATAAATATTCTAATCTGTAAAATGGAGATAATCTAAACGACGTAACGAAATCTGTGTAATGTCAGTACAGTTCTTTGAGGTCTTCAAGTGGAAGTGTAAGGTGTCAATGTCTTTTAATGCGAAATGGTGTTTTCCATGACTCTTCATTAGGTGTGATATAGTGCTGCAGAACTGAAAAAATACATCATCTTGAAAACTTCAGAGAGACATAGGTATCTGGTCAGATTCAGCGTTACTGAATTTGATGAAAAGGATGTATTTTCTAGTAGTATTAGATTAAATTTCACAAAGAAGTATATAAGAGAGCATCTGATATATATGAGAGCATCTGATTTCACTGTCTCCAGTTAAAAAGGTGCGAAAAATCAGAGGGGGGAAAAAAAAGGTGGGAAGTAAATTATACTTCCAAAACTGAAATACAACCGAGTATTTATATTGCAAGCAACAAAAGGATAGATGTGGTACTGAGGGACGTGGTTACTGGGCATGGGTGATGATGGGTTGACAGTTGGATCAGATGATCTATGTGGCCTCTTCCAACCTTGATGATTCTATGATTCTAAAACAGGTATAAACTACGTGCACAAAGAGTTCATCTGCGGGTTTCATATCAAGGCAGATTTCACTCTGCTAATAAATATACTTACTTTCTGGGAAGATTATAGCCCTTGTTTAGTGCCGATCTGCATAGTCCTCTGGCTTCATTGTCCGTGTTCTTTTCTCCAGAGGTCTTTGAGGGAGTAAGTGTTCACCTACATGAAGAAAAACTTGCTGGAATATGGCACACTCCTGTGCTTTGCTTACTGTGTAAATAACTTGCATGGCACGCAGTTGGGAGGTATATACTTTAACAAGTAATGGTGAAAAATTGAAAGAACTTTTTAAGAATGGAACTTAGAAAGGCAGTCTCAACTGCTCTGCATTCAGGCAGCCATGCTCGCCCCTGCTCCCAGCTGTGTCCTTCTGCCCTGGCTTTTGCACCAGCACTAATTTTTGTGAGTTCAATCCAAGCAGCTGCTTAACAGGATTAGGATCAATTTCCAGCGTAAATTAAGCCAAATGAAGCTGGCAGTGCTATGCTCCTGCCCCTCTGGTGCCTCCATTCTTGTTCAGCCAATTGCAGCAAGAGCTACTTGCTGCTGGAAAATATGTTTGTCGGAACACGGTATGTTTGCTCAGAAAACAAATGGTATCCTGAGCTCTATCAGAAGAGGAGTGGCCAGCAGGGAGGTGATTGTCCCTCTCTACTCTGCTCCATCTGGAAGCCCCATCCGTAATACTGTGTCCAGGTCTGGAGCCCCCAGTACAGGAAAGACAGGGAGCTGTTGGAGAGGGTCCAGAGGAGAGCCAAGAAGATGATCAGGGGACTGGAGCACCTCCCCTATGAGGACTGGCTGAGGGAGCTGGAGAAAAGAAGGCTGCGGGGTGACCTCATTGCAACCTTTCAGTACCTAAAAGGAGTCAACTCTTTGGAAGTGTAGATAACAGCAGGACAAGGGGAAACGGTTTGAAGTTGAGGGAGAGAAGATTTAGGTTGGATGTCAGGGGGAAATTCTTTACAGAGAGAGTGGTGAGGTGCTGGAACAGGCAGCCCGGAGAGGTTGTGGATGCCCCGTCCCTGGAGGTGTTCAAGGCCAGATTGGATGGGGCCTGGCAGCTTGGTGTAGCATTGAATGTGGAGGTTGGTGGCCCTGCATGTGGCAGGGGGGTTGGAGATGATCCTTGGGGTCCCTTCCAACCCTGGCCATTCTGTGATTCATTCTGTGATTCTGTGCTGTCACAGAGGGTAAATTCCTGAAACATGTGTGAGGACTTTCTCTGTCCTTGCTGTAGTACTCACTTCACCATGTGACTTCTCTCAAACCAGTCCAGCTCAAGTGAGATTGAAAATACTTCATGCAGTATTTAATTTGCATAGAGCGGTTAGACTTGCACTAGAGAGTAATTGGATTACCAGAGTGTTTGAATTAGTTGATGAGATAAATCACCTTATTGTTAAGATCACCACATCATTAATAGGATGAAGTCCAGCGCTGCTGAAGCTTCTCTGCATGACCTCAGCTTGAGCTCCAAACATTGCTTGCGTTTTGATGCTCATATGTAAACAGAATTGGGATAGGTGATTAATTTCTGCTAGCAATGCAGTGAAAAGGGGGTTTTATAGTAGTGATGTTCACATTTTCTGAACCGTGCACCAGTTTTATAAATCATTTCAGTGGCCTCCCAGATCACCAAAATTGTATTGGCATAGGGTTAGGGTGGAGTGGGGAATTACTCTATTTTGCCATCTGTAAATACTTTTCCCTATAAAACTGTTTTACATTTTTCCCATGGGAAATAAACATAATAATTAAAATGTTTGATGTCACAGTCATTTTTGTATGTGTTGTATGCTTTTTTTTTTTAACCTAAAAACAGGATGCTTCATTTTTTTCCATGACAGCCAACCAGCCTGGATGAGGATGTTATTCTTTTTTAGAACAGAACTTTCTAACTTTTTTTTTAAGACTTACTTTTATTTTTTTACTTAAAATAGTTGTGCAAAGTTTACTCTATGAGCAGTTTTATGACTTGTCCAAAAACGTTGCTTGCTCTGAGCAGGATTTGTCTTTCAAAACATCTGTAAGAGTAAGTGAAGGTATCTTGAGCTGACATAGTCACTCCAATCATTAATAAAGAGATGCTTTTAAATATTAAATGCCAATGTTTGGATGAGTTTAGTTTCACTCTGGAAGTACATATTCCCACTAACTGTGAAGGAAGCCCCACTGAGCCTAGCTCAGCTGAAGACATTGGATCAGATGAATCCCACCTTTTGTGGCTGAAGTTGTGGGAGAGTGTCCCTGGAAACCCAGAACACTTCTGTAGAGCTGAGGGAAAGAAGACCTGTCAGGGGTTCTTAATTCTTTTCTCCGTTTTTCACAAGCGTTGTCAGTATGAGAATAAATCTATTCTTAACTGTGCTTTTTCTTTAGTGTTGGAAAGGAAGATTTCGACAAGACAAAGCAGAGAGGAGCTGATAAGAAGGGGAGTGCTGAAGGAAATGCCTGAGCAAGGTGATGACACATTACCTAGAATTTAGCTCCTAAGTGCTAAACATGGATGGTAAAATCCCTATTGCATTGTTTCTGTGTAGTACAACTAGTTATAAGGAAATAAAGCAGAGGAATGTGAGAAGTAATTTGAGCCAGTTGAATTAAACAAAGTTGGAGTAAAAAAATACGCATTCTGTAGCTGCTTCTGCCAAGAAATGCTGCCTCACTTCTGGCCATATCTTCAAATATCTTTATGCTTCCTGTAAACATGGATGGCTGCCATTTCAGTATCATAAAGTACCAGTGCTGGGATCATACAGATCTCACCGCTGCCACACTGGCCACATTCACAAATAGCAGAAATATAAAAGTCTGTGGGGAAAACACTCCTTGTTTAAAAACAATTTAGAATTAATAACCCCAAATTTGTGCCTGGAAAAGTATGGATAGGCCATGGTTAACACCTCTGCCCCACCTCTGGTTATGTTTCTGAAATGCTTCTAGTAGTATTCTTTTGAATATTATTTAGTACCTATAAATCTAGATGGGATAAAAATCAAGTGATTAAAATAATTTTCAGTAGCTTAAAATAAAACCATTCATCACTTTATCGAGAAATCTGAGAACTCCATGATTTTTAAAAACAGGTCTATCCTAGAAATTGTACTGCCCTGCCTGAGCTGAAGAATTGCACACATTGATCCTTGGAAGTAGAGGGCTTGTTTGTTAGCATGTAGCATCACTTGTCTCTGCAGTCTTGTCCAATTACTAAAATGTGATAGCCAGTATAGCTGGCTTCTTAACTTGTTTCTGCCACTATCTGTGACTTAACACAAGAAATGTGAAATTTCCACACCTCAATCTGCCTGTATTAATTTTGAGCATTTTTTGCTATGTGCTTTTTTGGGTAGCTGTGTGACTTTGTTGATTGATGGTTGCAAAATGCATTTAGTCTGTTGGCTCAGTTAATGTAAGCTGTTAACATTTCAGGTAAGTAAAAAACACTTTGAACATAAGGAATATCATTCATATGTTTGCTTTGGTCATTAGTGTCCTTGACCTGCTATTCCACTCTTAAAAGGGGTAAAAGGATGGAATGGTAAAACAGTGTTTCCCCTTTTTCCCTTCTTAAGACCATCAATCCTGTCTGTGTTGCCTTCATCATACTATGTCTCTTGTCTGATGAAAATTATAATCTTTATGGAGCAATTCGGAAGAAACAGGATTGTTTTGGATGGACTGAAAGCAGAGATACAGGGAAGACAGTGGTTAGGTGGTGTGAAGCTAGTTAGAAGGAATGTCTACATAGCTGAAAACTAGATGAAATGTTATGGAGTATTGAAATGTGAGAGGTAAGAAGTGCAAAGAAGTGACTGTTTCACATGGGATGGAGAAGAAAGAGGTGGGAAGTGGCAAGGATGTAGATGAGATGTTAGCAGAATATGAGCAAGGTAGCAATCTTACGTGTGAAGGCAGAAAGGAAAGTGGATTTAAGAGCATCTGGAAGGAAAAAGCTGAGAAATTTGAATGCTGCAGTCAAATAAGAAGGCGGCCTTGTGCAAATATCAGCTATAGTAAATGAGACAAGGTTAAGAAGGCAGAACTTAGGTTTTACACATCATTTTTACACATCATGAGAAAGTTAGTTGTGTGGTTAGAATGAAACCATCAGCTTAATCCACAGAACAGCCTAAGGAAGTAAGAGAGGCTGCATAATTGTATTGAAACGAGGGAACTGCCAAACATCCAGATCTCACAGCACCCAACAAGGAGAAGAAGAGAGTGGAATTAACACAATTAATGAAGAAGCAACAGGAGGAACCAGAAGACATTACAGGTAAAGTTGCACAAATTTTGGCTGATAAGAGCATCCTGTAGAAGAAGGGCAATCATCTCTGAGAACTGGAAGTGTGGTGTGAGCAACCTACAGATAGCAAGGCTTGGACATAACCAGAGAAGAAAATCAGTGGTTTAAAAATGCATAGAATAGAGAACAGATATCAGTCAACACAGAAAGTTGTGAGCCAGCAAGAGTACACAGCATTTTTCAGGGACATAGATACAAATAAGGAAGAGAAAGAATTTTTGTTCTTTTTTTTTTCAGGAGGAAAAAGAAAACAGCTGAGGTAGTTCACATGAGTCAGTAATAGTCATAAGAGCTGGGAGAGAATTGGACTTACAAAATGTATTAACAGTATGTAATATGTTACAAAGAGTTTTAACCATGATTCTTAAGATTGGACAATGACTCGTTATCATTAATAGTAAATTCACATTTGGGAATTGATCGCATATATTCTGAAAATTTCTGCCTGATTTCTGGCTGATACACCACTGGGATACAACATGGTTGTTCTGCATGCTGTGGACATGCAATTCTATGTATGTCCAGGTCTGAGACCTTTGGAAACACACTATAGATACATTATGTTCCACATGAATGTCTTTAAGCTATGTAAACCAAGATCATAGAATCATAAAATGACCTAGGTTGAAAAGGACCACAATGATCATCTAGTTTCAACCCCCCTGCTCTGTGCAGGGTCACCAGAGCAGGCTGCCCAGAGCCACATCCAGCCTGGCCTTGAATGCCTCCAGGGATGGGGCATCTGCAACCTCTCTGGGCAGCCTGTTCCAGTGCGTCACCACCGTCTGGGTGGAAAAAATTCCTTATGAAGGATGTGGGATGGAAGAGTATGAGATGCTAACATGTACAGAGTTCATATCAGAAGATGGAGCCTTGAAGCTTGAGCTGGAAAATAGGCCCACTACTGTGAAGATATCCACTCAAAGACCTGGCAGCCTATGGAGATCATTTAGAGAGTTACTTTTCAGAGCCTATTATACACTCCATTAAATTTTTCTGCTTTGCTTCTATGGTAACTTGAAAGCAGAGGGTTGGTGTGTAATGTCAATAAATGCTAAGCAAGCAATTAATTTGGACATTGGCTTTTTAATTTTTATTTCAGATGGTGATGTGACAGTAAATTTTGAAACTTCAAACGGACACACCATAGCTATTGGTGAAGAAACCATACAGGAAGAAAATGCAGTAAAAGCCAGTGGAGATAATGGCACTTTATCAGAGAAACCATGTGGGCCAGAAGGAAAAAAAGAAGATCAAAAAGGTAAATGGACACATTTATCAATTTTTTTCCCACCTACTTTAAACGCTAACGTGTTCTTCCATCAGCACCAATACATGCTGTAAGCTCCATCCTGCAACAAGGATGCCAGCAGAACCTGCCAAGAAGATAGACTTGCAAAACATGGGTATTTCATCACTGGTAGGCATACTGTGGATACAGTAAGGTAACAAATAGAAGCATGGTATGAGCATGAAAATACATGCAGAGATGTTTCTGAATTCACTGTGAACCTTTTGTGGGCAGGCTTTGGTTCCAGGTTTTCCTTTTGTGAAAGAAGAAATAAAATGCTTGTGCATCACCTTGCAATACCACTGCAGAAGTGGCTCATAGCTTAAATGTTCAAGTGTTTAAGCTACTTGAAAACTGTATGTCATTTTGAAAATTACTTCAGCAGCTCATTCCCGTTGGTTTTCATTACCTCTTAAGCACTTAAATTCCAGCTCTTCAGAAATATTCAAGGGAATATATTGCTACTACAAATTGAACTCAAGTCATTTATGGAAAATGTACTTTATGCCTATGTGATTTTCTGTAGATAAAATGCACTAAATCCTGTTAAATACTCAGTTAATTTTGTTACCTTCATTCAGATTCACTTTGGTGACAAAGTTTGACTGAATAAGGGAAATTTAAAAACTCAAGTGGAATCACAAGGATTTGGACTACATTTAACCTCTTTCTGTAATATGTTGAATACTGGACTACTTCTTTTCACTGTTTAAAAAAGAAAGAAAGAAAGAAAGAAAGAAAAAGTGAGTGTTCTTAAGTACTGCTCCATCTATTGGATTTTCTACAGGAAAGAGCAAGGATACAAAAGATCAAAAATTCATGGCTGGCTGTTAGGCCAGTCTTTCCAATGTTACCTAGTAACCTTTACCTAGTGATGAATGAGCCTTTGGAGGATGAGAGGGTCAGTTCAGCTAACACAATAATTTGAATTCTTCTCTGAGCTATGTAAATCACTTGCCTGTGTAAAAAGTGTCTGGATTTCCAAGGAGAACTGCACTTCTTATGAGATTGCTAGTACTTCCTGTCTCCCAGCAAGCCCAAAATACATAATTAGCTTTTTTTCATGACATTTAAATGTGTATATCTTTTTATGCCAACTAGAACCAGATGTGTATTGGGTCAGGAAAAAAGATTTGCAAAAGCCATGGAAAGCTCCTTAAAAATGATTTTGGGGCTAGATCAGATCATTTGTTATTTTATGCATCCCTAAATACAGCCTTCTGAACCTGTCAGGTCTTGAAAGTTTTCCCAAGGGGCATATTTTTAAAGATACACAGTTCTGAGTATTGAAATCCCATCCAGCTGATGCTGCAGAATGCAGAACTGTAATGAAAAGGGGAAGGTACAATATCTGTTTCAAACACGTTATTTCATTCAGGTCTCTCTCTCTATTGTGCTGACCTAAAGAACTTTGAAATGATTGCTGTACAAGAGTAGGCTCAGTGCCAAGGTATATTTAGCTATCACTTTATCACAAATTAAGCGAGAAGGTGAGTCAGTCTGTTTAAGAGTAGGGCTTGCAGATGCACCTCACAGATGACTCTCACCTGGTGGTGTAGTCTTCAGAGCTTTTTTATGGCAACTACAGTAGGTCTTCATCACACTACACCCACTGGCAGAGGGAGAAATAAGCCACTGATGTGATGGTTTGCATTAGCATTATGTTGATGCTCAAAGAGCATCAAAATCAGAGCTGTGGCAGGACTATGGGTATACCTGGCAGTGTCCTCCGGTTAGACTGTAACACATGCTGCTTTTCCAGATCACAGATCACAATCTCTGTCAGAAGAACTTAGATAGGTGGAGTGAATACTAGCTGGACTGTCATGAGCAATGAATTCAAGGTGGTTTTTGTAGAGATTGATGTTAGTCTTTTTAGAGTCAAAAACTCCTATGTGTAAATCTTACAGGAAGTTCTTTGTACTTTCCATGTTTGTGAGACCTGAAGACAGCAGTAATTCCTGCTGTTTAGCAGCACAGTATGCTGCAAACTGCTGCCAAATCAAAGCGTTCTGAAAAATGCAGCTCAGCCCCTGAAAGTTATCAGGTTATTTTAAAACTCATTTATGAAATGGTGGTAGCTCTTACTTGCTTTCTGGTTCAAACAGATTTTGAAAATGAGCTTCCTGCTTAAAGATGATGATGATTGCTGATGCTGGAAGTTTAAAAAAAAACAAATGTGGCAGGCACAGTGGTCAAGCAGTAAGAGTTGGCAGCAGTGCATCATGGAGCAGGGAATGTGTTTGGAGTTAAAAGAAGTCACAGGAAAAATGTTCTAGCGTGAGCCACAGAAATGCAGTATTTACAGGGCAAAAACAGTTGGCTCAGCCACATATTGTAGGAATGAGTTAAGCAAAAGTGAGTGAAGCAGCAACCTGAAAGCTGTTCCCTGCGCTGCCAAGCATCCCTGCAAATTTTGCACCCTCTGCTCGCGGGTGTCTTCTGTATTTGGGGAAAAAAATCCCTTTGGAAATTTCAGTGTGGCCATTATTTTTTGTAGCTATGATATGTCAATCATCCAAACGGTGTAGAAAATTTCTCCTTTATGGCAGCATAATAAGAAGCTGGTGATGCAGGTGATTGAGCGATTAAGTTTTACAAAAACAGGTGATTGAGTTATTAAGCTTTGCAGATGGGAAAGCAGAGCCCCAGGTCTTTTTCTTGGATTGTTTATTCACATTATATGTGTACTAGGTTGAGTTCTGAATACTTTTTTTCCTTAGTTTGGTTTTGTTTTGACTACAAGTCACTAGCATCTTTTGCTGAAAACACAGAGCTCAACTGTAGCCATTCTCTGTGAGCATGCTGGAAGGGATACAGAGCAGCACATGGGCAGGCAGCGTGCCAGAGTACGTGCTGCCTGTCTGGCCAGCAGGCTGGACTGTGCTGGTATCTCGGGGCTCCTGATGAATGGCCCTTGTCTGAAAGAGCCCCTGTGGGCCTCAGCACTCCAGGTTCCCAATGAGGAGCATTCCCTATGAACCCTGCATAGAGGTTCCATGGATCCCCTTCTTTCTTCCTCTTGTACCCTACAAGAGTGTTGGAGAAGAGCAAAAGCAACATGGGTAGAATAGATATCAAAATTGTAGCTGTTGCCCACTATAGACATAGGGACATAGCATGATGGCACAGGATGCTTGCTGAACATTGTAAAACCTCCTGGTACTGTGTCAGAGCTCCTTTTCTCCTTCACACTTTCCCAAGATGTCTCTGGCATTCAAGATACACCAGAGAACCATGAGTTTGTAGCTGAGTTGTTTGTAAACTTTGATCTTACTCTTTTTTGATGTGACAAGTTAATCTTTTTGTGATTCTGGTAGATAATTTCATTGTTAGCTTAAGTTGAAGAGAAAGTAGGTAGTTGAAAGTGAAGCAGGTTCACTAACCATTAGTGATATGCTACTTGGAAAAAAAAAAAAGTTTCATTTTGCCTACCATCAGTCAGGTAGGAGTGATAAATAACTGCACTGCAGGAAGCCAGAGCTCTCTCGTGGGTGCTCTGGGTATTCTGGGTGTCATGGAACATAAACTTCTGAAATGTTCCAATACCATTTATAGCAGACCCGAGTCCTCTTAGGTTTTCTCATGTATTTCAGTGAAGGAAACAATTTCTAGTCCTGTTTCCAAATGAATGAATAGGATCCATCTGTATAATGCTTTTCCTCCACATCATAACTAATCTGAGAGCTGACAAATGTCTAATTTTTAGTTTAAGTTTTAGTTCAGAGGTTCTTTCTCTTATATCTACCTTTAAATTTAATCTTCTGTTTTTCTCATGCATAAGGAGAAAAAGAAAGCTGGAGTCATAGGCCCTGATCTTATGAGTATGCATACTTGCTGACCAACACTGTAATTTGCATTCAAGGGAATGTTCTTTAAACTCAAGTTTTCTGAATTTCTTTTCTCAGAGGCCTTTGCTTTATTTCCACTAAGTGGAAAAAAAAAAAAAAACAAAGCCAAGGAAAAAAAAAACAACTAAACACCAAAAAAGCAACAACTGCTGAATTCAAAGCAGTAAACCCCCATCTTCCAGGGCCTTATACAAGAACCTCTCAGCTGATCAATCTTGCAAACCATTCACTGTGAAAGACAAGACAAACTTTCCTCTCTCTTGTGTTACAAGCTGGCTTCCTGCACCCCTCAGCTCTGTAGATCATTGTTATGTGCACCATATATAAAAGTTTATTGGTGTTTTTTTTTGCCTGACTCCCAAAGAATCTACTTGTAGGTCTCAGTCTAGCTGAGTTATTTGCTGGCCTACGACTAGTTATTCTAAGAATAGTTGATCTTCTATTTGTCACCTGAACTATGTAAATGAGACTGAATCCAAGTTTTCTTAAAAGGAAAGGTACTCCAGATAAAGCTTTGTTTGGGCAGGAACCATCCAGTAAGTCAGCCAAGCCAGGCAGGCTCCAGCCAGTAGACTGACATGAAGATGCAGGCTTTCACCCACGTAATGTGAGTGGCAGAGGAAAGCTCCTAATATGTAGAGCTTCCATTTATTTTTTGGTTTTGTTTTTTTAATTATTAAAAAAAAAAATCCTATTTATTAAAAAAAAAAAAAAAAAAAAAATCCTAATATGGCTCCAGGAATAAGATTGTAGACATGGTTTTGGCAGATTAATCATTGAATTGTTTGAAAATATCTATGCAGATAGTATAAAGGAATGTAGAAATTTACATGCCTGCTCGCTTTCCAAGTATCTTATAGACCAAGAAAAGGTAAAAATATGCAGTTAGCAGTGAAGATGTTACAGATATTCTGTCTTGATTTAACAACTTACATATTACGCAACAGTTGAGCAATCAGCATGTGCTTGTTTTGTATTGTTTTTTTTTTCCTTTATTATCTTGGAAACAATAAATATTTAAATGTGGTTACTTATGTCGATTGTTACACCTACCCCTTTCTCCTCCCTCCTTCAGATTTCTACCCTTTCTTGGTTACAGGGTCTTTTGCACATGGTGCT